TCATTACCCCCAAGACCTGTGAGGGAGTGAATAGTTCTGGTGACCTCATGTCACCTTGGTCAAGCCAAGTAAACGAGCATTTATTAGGGGGGCCCACAGTGTGCCAGGCACTATGCCAAGCTCTGGGGATACAAGAAAGGCAGAAGTTGTCCCTGCCTCCCCCAGGAGCCCCATCCTCCTGGTCCTCAGTGTCACCACAGGCTCCCAAACCCTCTGCCCCGGCCTCTGACTCTCTCCCCTGCTCCCTTCTCTCCCTGGGCCTGTGTCTCCATCTCACAAGCCCAGTACCCCCAAGCTTGTCCCCCGGACAGTTCTCCCCGCTGCTGAATGTGCCCCACCACCCCAGAGCCTCTGGGAGGAAATAGCCCTGCTCAGCCCGTCTGCCCGAACCCTGTAGTCCAGGGGTATTGCAGCAGCCCCCGGCCCCAGGCTCTCCTGCAGATCCCAGTGACGTTCCTGAAGGGCAGGTCTGACCACGTCTCTGCTTGCTGTCCGTACTGGGCTCAGACCATCCAGTGTTAGTGCAGGCGGCCCATTTGCAGTGGTCATCCCCCACGCCTGCAACACCCTCGCTCCCTTCCGTCACATCTGCAGATATCCAGACTGGACTCTAGCCCCTCAGTGTCTCTGCCAGAAGCATTCATTCGGATTCCCATGGCCCCCAGGCTCTCCCTATCTCCCTTCCACAGGGGCCCAGACCCCCCCCCGTGTTCTTTCACTGTCTTCCTTAGTGGTCTCCTGGGTCTTCTCATCTTCCTCAGTCCCTTGGCCTCCCCAGAGCCCCCAAGGCCCCTCCACCTGTGCATCTCTGAGCCTCCATCTCCTTCTGTCTCCTCTCAACCCAGACCCTGTCCCCTTTGGATATCTACCCCAAAATATTGGACTTCCACCCTGTGACCATGGCAACCTTCACCATGACCCTAGCCCGGGTCTGCCTCTGCCCCATGGTGAGTGTGGGGGTCCGGAGGTCCCTGAGGGTCCCCCCACCCCAGGTCTGTTCTCTTTGGGAAGCCGGGGGCTGCGGGATGGGGAGACACAGCTTCCTCCTCCTTCCCTTCACTTCCAGCCCAGGCTCACGGCTCATAGCAAGCAGACGGTCTCCAGGCCTAGCCCTGACCCAGAGTGAGCCCTGCCTGCCCACTGGTCAGAGGGGCAGGAAGACCTGTCCTAGCTGGCCTCCATCTACGGTCCCATAATGCTTCCCTCTCTCGGTCTTTCCAGATCGTTGGCCGAGGCAATGATCAAGTGGCCATCAGCTCCAAGTTTGAGACCCGAGAGGATATCGGTGAGTCGCCATTGAGAAGCCTGGGAATGGGGGTGGGGAGCTCACTGGACGTCTTGGGCGGGGGCGGGGAGCAGGCCCAGCTCTGACCCTCACTGGTGGCTGCAGGAAGGACAGTCAGCCAGACTGAGAGAGGGTCTGGCCTCTAGGGGGTTGGGGGCTGGGAGAGGGGCTCCCCGGCTCTCTGGGTGGGAGGGGGGCCAGGCAGGCCCCTCAGGATGGGAGAGAGCCTGTCGCTGAGCCTCGGGGTCAGGAGGGGGGCTGTCCACAGGGCCAGGGTGTGGGGGGAGGGAGGTGGTCCATTTCTGACTGGAGTGGGCTGGCTCTCCACAGCTGTAATCCGGAATTACGGGAACTTGCTCCTGGAGATGTCCGCTGTGGTCCCTGACGGCATTGTTGCCTTTTTCACCAGCTATCAGTACATGGAGAGTACCGTGGCTGCCTGGTATGAGCAGGTGAGCCCCCGACCTTGGCCTTAGGGTCCCTCCTTCTTCCCCAAGGCCCAGCTGGCCGGCTCTTAGGCCTTGTGCCTCCAGCTCTTCCCCTTACTGTCTCCTCCCAATGCCCAGGGCATCCTGGAGAACATTCAGCGGAACAAGCTTCTTTTCATTGAGACCCAGGATGGAGCAGAGACGAGTGTGGCCTTGGAGAAGTACCAGGAGGTAAGAGATGCTAGGCTGTGCCCTGGCCCTGGGCAGCAGGGAGGGGGTGACCTTGGATAAGTCACTTCTCCCAGGACCTCGGTCTGTAAGAGAAGGGGGTTGGCCACGATGACCTCTGAGGTCACTCCAGCTTGAAAGCCAGCAGTCGAGGTCCATCCTTGCCCCATCTCCCAAAGCTGCTGGGGGGAGTCTGACGCCTCTGTCCCCTGCAGGCGTGTGAGAATGGCCGAGGGGCCATCCTGCTGTCCGTGGCCAGAGGCAAGGTGTCCGAGGGCATCGACTTTGGTGAGTGTGCTGTCCCCCCAGCCCCTAGGGTCAGGGCGGGGCCTGGGAACAAGGAATGATGTGCCTCACCCACCCCACCCTCCTTGGGCACAGACAGAGGGCAGGACCGGGGAGAGCCGCACACAGTGTCTCCTTCTCTGCTCTGCCCGAGTCATCCCATTTGGCTGGGCAAGGCTGGGCCCAGGGCCCAGTTTCTCTACCTCGCCCCACCCTCCAACCACAAATACTCTTCTCTCCCTCGGCCCGTCACCCCTCAACAGTCCACCACTATGGCCGGGCCGTCATCATGTTTGGTGTCCCCTATGTCTACACCCAAAGCCGAATTCTCAAGGTGAGTAGGAGGCTGGAGGGAGGGGAAGGAATTTGAATGTTAAACCACAGAATGTCTGAGCACATAGCAGAAATTGAGTGTTAGGAAGATCCTTAGAATGTGGAATGTCAGAGCAGGGAGGGCCCTTAGAACAGGGAATGTTTGAGACCTCAGAACATAATATCTCAGAGTAGAGAGTCCTTAGAGACCATCTGGGTTAGCCCTCTTACTTCACAGATGGGGACACTGAGGCCCTAAGTGGTGAGGGGACTTGTCCAGAGCTCTGGGCTGAGCCCCCTGGACCCAGGCCTCCTGATCCTGCGGCCATGGTCCAGCTCAACTGAGGGCAGGGGGTGTGGGGCCCAGGCCTGCGAGGTGGTCATTTGTGGGAGGTGCCCTGCCAGGGGGGTAGTTCCTGACCAGGCAGCCCCCTGCCTCCTCCCACACAGGCCCGCCTGGAGTTCCTGCGTGATCAGTTCCAGATCCGAGAGAATGACTTCCTGACCTTTGATGCCATGCGACACGCAGCCCAGTGTGTGGGCCGCGCCATCCGGGGCAAGACTGACTATGGGCTCATGATCTTTGCTGACAAGGTGGGCAGCCGGCTGGGTCGAGCTGGGCGGGGGCCGGGGTCCCAGGGGTGCTCCCTGCGAGGCAGGCCATGAGCCTGAGCCCCCTCCTCACCCTAGCGCTTCGCCCGGGCCGATAAGCGCGGGAAGCTCCCTCGCTGGATTCAGGAGCACCTGACAGACGCCAACCTCAACCTGACGGTGGACGAGGGCGTGCAGGTGGCCAAGTACTTCCTGAGGCAGATGGCCCAGCCCTTCCACAGGGTGAGCTGCCCTGGTTCTCCCCCCAGCACCTCACCCCCAGCCTGGGATCCCCTTCTTCCTTCTCCAGACTCTGCCTGGAGCCTTTGCTCTGCTTCTCCCTCACCTCCTCCAGGGCCCGTGCTCTTCCACCACTATTCTCAGTCCCCATGGCATCAGGCCCGTAGCTGGGGGCTCAGGCTCTGGGGTGACAAGGGTGAGGGAGGCCCCGCTTTTCCACTAGGGCATAGGAGTGTTCTGGGCCTATTGTAGAAGGCGGCAGCTGGCCGTGCTGTACAGATGGGTAAACTGAGTCCAGAGAGGGGCAGATCCACAGATGATCCGAGGGAACCTAGGTCCCCGGGGTGCTGCATCACCCGTGGGAGTCTGACAGATGCCCCCTCAAATCCGCTCCCCAGGAGGACCAGCTGGGACTGTCTTTGCTGAGCCTGGAGCAGCTTCAGTCCGAGGACACTCTCCGCCGGATAGAGCAGATCGCCCAGCAGCTGTGAAGGGGCTGGCCCCAGACATGAGGGAGTGGGGCAGCCTTGGGGCAGGGATAATAAAGTTTTTGGGTTTTTTTTAAAGGCTCGCCTCTCTTTTCTGGGAGGGACTATTGGCCTGGACCCCTGGGTGCTGTAATAGCCCAGTGAGGAATCAGGAAGACCTGAATTTGAATGCTGCCCTGGACACTTAACTAGCTGTGTGACCCTGGGCAAGTCCCTTCTCTTGGCCTCATTTTCTTCATCTGTAAAATGGGGATAATAATAGCAACACTCTCCCCACCCCCTCCCTGATCAAAATGAGGTGCTATTTCTCAAATGCTTTGCATACCATAAAGCTTTATGTAAAGGCTCCTATTATTAGAACCTCAGCAGAAGGAATGTGACCTTTCTACGGGTCAGAAAATTTGAGCAGGCCAAGGGACACCCTCACCTTGCTGCAGAGTGGCCAAAGTGATTTCCTCTCAGAGGCGGTGCTTTGAATGGATTGGAACAAAAACTTCATTCAGAACAAGCGAGGAGAAAGACAAGAACATTACCCTGAACAGGATGCTCTCGCGATATCCGGTCACTTCAGCTTAGGGGCCCACAGAAAGGACGAGGTTTTTAACCCTGTCCTGCACAGATCACAGGGCAGAGATCTGGAGGGAGCCGGCCGCAAGGGCCTCCCTCTGGTCCAGTCCTTGACCGGCCCCCACCAGGAATTATCTGTGACCATTGAGAGGGTTTGAGACACAGTTTCTGGGTAATTTAATCATTTTATTAATAAAGCCAGCAGGTTACTAACAAAAGGATGGTCCTCTGGCCTTGCTCTTAGGCCAAAGACCCCTCACGGCAGTGGGCTCCGAGCTCATACGCCCTTGGAAGAGCCAGTGTGCGAGGGTGGCATCTACTGTGATTGGCTAACGCAATGGCAGGTGGGCTATGTTACAGTGAGGGTCATGGGGTCCCCCGAATCATGGTTGGAGCGACATCAATTCCCACCTCCCCTGTCTGACCAAAGGAAGGAGTCACATTTTCCCAGACCTGTCTGAGCAAACGCACCCATTAACCTGAAAGTAGGATTTCTTTTACTGTCTGATTAGATCTTGGCCTGGGTAGCTGGTTGGTTTCTGGATGAATTAGGAAAAGGGAAAAGCCTTAGTCCTGATTCAGTAATTAGTTATTAAATAGAAATCATTCATTTTTCACACATCCAAGGCAGGGTTTGAACCCAGGTCCTCTTGCCATACAAAGTATGGCAGAGCAGGGATTCCATTTACAGCCCCAAGTGCTCTATGCTTTCTGGATGAGTTCCAGAATCTCTTCCTGCTCTAGACTTTGAGGTCCTAAAACCCTTCTATTGACAAATGCAGTCATAGGGCCATTACGGAGGACTCCAGATGTAGAAGTAAAGGGACCCTTCACTGTACAGATGGGGAAATGCAGGCCCCAGGGAGGGGTGGTGATTTCTCCAAAGGTGTATGTGTTGGGGGAGGGGAGGCTTTTGCTGCCTCCCAAGAATGTGCGAACAGCCAGGGAAGGGTAGGCCAGGTAGTTTTATCTCCAGTGCTTCAGCCCTGGGGTGAGGACGCCTCTAGGTAGGTATAAATACAATAAATATAGCCAGAGGGAACTGGGGGGGGGGGGTAGGAGGGGAGGGGATGCCCCTGATGCCTCATCTCACAGCCGAGTTCCTGAGAAGCTTCTGCGGCCCCGCCTGGCTGCTAGCGGTGGTCCAGGGGGTGGCCGAGGTCCTGGGTGCTGGTGCTCAGTGGTCTCATTTGGCTCAGCTGGCTGACTGACATCTGGAGGCAGGACAGCCCTCAGATAGTGACATTCCCGGTCATGCCCTCCACCCACCTCCACGCCACCCTCGAGGACCGTCCTCAGCTTAGAGCACAAAGATAGGTAACAGATCTAGGGCTGAAAGAGTCCTTCGGCATCACCGAGGCCAAGCTTCTCACACTGGCAGATGAGGAAACAGGCCCAGAGAGGCGAACCCCTTCTTGGGCCAAATCCTTCATCCCCCTCCTCCCCCTGCCAGCCCTCTGACCTCCCCCTACCAGGCAGGGACAGTCATCTCCAGAGCTTCCCTCTGCCCTCAGGGCCCAGCCCACCCCTGCCCCTCCAGTGCTTTGTCCTAACAAGCTGGGCCTTCTGTCTTAGCCATCCCCTTCTCCCCAGAGACCCCTACTCACTCCCCTTACCTCCATGTTTCTGGCCCTGGAGTCCTCGGTATTGAGCACGCTGAGGGACATAGCCCGCTTCATCCTGGAGGGAGAGGTCAGACATTCAGGGATAGGGGGGAGGATGGTGTGTGTGTATGTCTCTCCTCTCTCTCTCCTTCCTCTTCTCTCTCTCTCTCTCTCTCTCTCTCTCTCTCTCTCTCTCTCCTCTCTCTCTCTCTCTCTCTCTCTCTCTCTCTCTCTCTCTCTCCTCTCTCCTGTTTCTCTCTCATTCTCTCTCCCTCTTCCTCCCTCTCTCTCTCTGTCTCTCCTCTCTCTCTCTCTCTGTCTCATCTCTCCCTTCATCTCTCTCCCTTTCTCCTCTCTCTGTTTCTGTCTCCAGGATGGCTTCATCCTAATCCATCACTCCTATACCACCACCAGGGCTCCTGAAGGCAGAGGTGATCTGTGTACCAATTCCCGCTGCTCCAGAGACCTCAGTTGCCCTAAATGACAGGCTCATAGCTGGAGGGAGGTTCAGAAGGGCTGCACCAGAGGGGCCGTTAGTGCTCATGGCCTGCCTGACCCACAAATGCCAGCTACAATATCACAGACACCCGGTTGTTTGCATGCTATTTCCCCATTAGACTGTGAGCCCCTTGAGGGCAGGCACTGCCTTCACCTTCCTTTGTACCCTCAGTGTTTAGCCTGGCACACAGTAGGCACTTAATAAATATTTCCTGATTGACAGATGAGATGAAGGTGAGTCAAGTGCTTGACAAACTTTAGGTGCTACTGAAATGGGGGCTGTTATCTTCAAATGTCCATCCCAGCTCTGCTTGAAAACTGCAAGAGACGGAGAGCTCACTGCCTGCCAGGCGATGTCTTAGCTCCCTGTGACTTTCTCTCCCAGCACAGAGTGTAAATCAAATCCTTCAATCCTCTTCAAAGAGCCTGGGGCCCCTTCAGCCACCCAAGCCCAGCCTCAGGACCCCCTTCTCTCTCCCACCAACGCCCTGAGGAGCTAGCAAAAGGGGAGGGGAAGCATCCCTCCGCCAATGATCACCCCGTCCTTCTTTGCCTGGGGGTCCCAGCATCTCTCTGCCTAGATCCGACTTTCCTAAAGGTTCAGAGGCATAGCACAAAAGTAGAGGGTCCTGAGGCAGTGGGTCTGGGTTCAAATTCCACCTTGGAGCCTTATGCACTGACTTGTGTCACCTTGAACGCATCCCTTCGCCTGGGCTTCAGTTTCTTCATCTAGAATCATCAGCATCTTCTATGATTTGTGAGCCTAAGGACCTTGACCAGGTCATTTAATCTTCTTCGGCCTTGGTCTCCCCCTTCGTAAAGTGAGGGAATTGGACCAGAAGGGCTCTGAGATCCTTTCCTCATCCCAGGGAGAGAAGTGTCTCCTTTTCTACTACCCTAATCCTTTCCTTCCCTCATTTCAGGTCCCCCCCTCCTTTTCCATCGAAGGACCCCAACCCAGTGCTGTCCAGGCTAAGCACCCCCTCCCATCTTACCCTCTCTTCTCAGATGTGGCAGCCTGTCTCAGGGTCCCATTCACTGCCCCCCCATGTGGTATGCAAGGATTATCTGCCCCTTTCTGAGCTTGGGGGGTCCTCAGTGCTTCCCACTCAGCCGGGCCTGGGGGTGCCTTAGGAGAGTTCTTCACTTAAATCCAAACTTCAAGGCTGAGCCAGTTCCTTTCATAGAGGACCCCGCCCCAGAGCCCCCAGTCTCAGCTCTCTCGGCTTCCCAGGAACCAAGGAGGCTCCAACCCCTCTGGTCAGGGCAGGACTTCCCCAGTGTGGCCCCCGAGCCTCCTCACAGACGCCACTTAGATGACCCAGAGCTCATTCTTCCTCAGGGAGGCCTCTTGCCCCATGGGACCTTCCCGAGGGCTGCCATCCTAAATGCTCTCTGGGCCAGGCCAGTCCTTCCATCCTGATGAAGCCCTTCAGAGGGGCAGCTAGGTGGTGCAGTAGATAGAGCTCCAACCCTGGAGTCAGGAGGACCTGAGTTCAAATCCAGCCTCAGACACTTGACACTCGCTAGCTATCACTTAACAAGTCACTTAACCCCAATTGCCAGAGAGAGAGAGAGAGAGAGAGAGAGAGAGAGAGAGAGAGAGAGAGAGAGAGAGAGAGAGAGAGAGAAAGAAAGAAAGAAAGAAAGAAAGAAAGAAGAAAGAAAGAAAGAAAGAAAGAAAGAAAGAAAGAAAGAAAGAAAGAAAGAAAGAAAAGACAAAGCTCTTCAGGTATTGGAAGTGGACTCTCCTGCCTCCCCATCCCCATGCCATCCCTTTCGCCAATACCTTCACCCAGCCTTTGCCTTCCCTGTAAGGACTTCCAGTGTGCACACACTTCTCATCCTCCAAAGTGTCCTATCAACGTCCAGGGCACCGGCGTCCTTCCACTCACCCTGGCTCAAAACCTCAGGGTCACCCCTCATATTCAGTCTGAGTCTTGTCCAGACCCCCTTCTACAGTGCCTGGTCCATGGCAGGCACTCAATAGATGCTCAATGACTGATTCCACTCACACACCTGCCACTATGGTGCATTGCCTCATTCTCGGACGGCTGCAGTCGCCACCAAACAGGTGTCCCTGGCACAAGGCTCTCCCAGCACCAGCCCATCCTCTGCCCAGACGCCAAAGTGATTCCCCTAAAGCGCAGGCCTGATCGCATCACCCCTCAGCCCCAGAGCAAGATGACATGAGACCTTGCGGCTTCCTATAGCCTCTAGAATCCCATGTAAATTCCTAAAGCTCTTTCCTTCCCAATGCATTATTAGGCCTTACCACCCTGTTTCATGCACTCCACAGTCCTGACAAACTAGCTTCTGTTCCTCGCGCTCAATACATCATCTCCAGCCTCCAAGCCTTTGCTTCTGCTGTCCCTCACGCATGGAATGCACTCCCTCCTTGCCTTCAGTTCTTAGAATGCTAGTTTTCTTCAAGAGCAAACTCAGCCTTGGACAGGAAGCCTTCCTCCATCACTGGTCCCCCTCCACTCCACACAGTCGCGGTTGCCTCTCCCCTCTCCCCACCCCCATTACTTTGTATTAATGCTGTCTGTATCTATCTATGTAATACTGTCCACCCACAGAGAATACAAGCCCCTTGAGGGCAGACACCATTGCATCCAGCCTGATGCACAGTCGGTGTTTACAGTTGCTCGTTGACTGGTTGACTCTCCAGATTATCAATCTTTCCTGAAGCATGGAGCCCAGAACAGAACCCTGGGCGGGGGTCTGTCTGACCAGAACGGAAGACAGGGGGACGGCTGGCTACCTTTGCTGCCTGAGATCTCAGCGCTGTTTCTGACAACCCTGGCCCCCTCACAGCTCTGTGGGGAGCATCACACAACGGAGGGCCGGCCCGACACCTTCCTTTTACATATGAGGAAGATGAGGCCCACAGAGTCCCAAAGGAGTAAGTGGTAGAGACTAGATCTGAAGCCAGGCCTTCTGGCCTCAAAGTCAGTCTCTTTCCACTGTGGGACGTTGCAAGATAATAATGCACGTTTTTTAAACCTGAAAGTGATTATCTTGATTCATCACTGCTGCCTTTTAGAGTCTCAGAGGCTGGCCAGCTAGTCCAGCCTGTAGCTGGACAAGGATCGCTCCAAACAGGCTGCCAGCCAGCCATCTCTTGAATGCCTCCAGGGATGAGGAGCTCCCTCCCTCCTGGGGCAGCCCCTTCTCCCAGCCTCAGGGAAATCCCATTCTGGTCGGGGAGGCAGGGCTCCTCTCAGGATGTGACCCACTTCCTCTGTCCCCTCCATTCTCTGACCATGACCACGGATAGGGTCCAGTGAAGGGGCCCAAAGGGTCAGGGGAGGGAGGCTCAGGTTCGGTAGAGATACCAAGTAAGCTAAATAAGGCGCTTTGGGGGCTGGGTCTGTAGAGAAGAGGGATCCCTGATCTGGGCTGTGACGTAGGAAGGACCCAGAGGGTAGAAAGTCCCCGAGGGAAGAATGGTGGGGTGGGGAGGAGAGTAGTCAAGGAGGACTTCCTGTAGGAGGGTCTGGCAGAAACAGTAACCCAACCTGGGTTCTGAGTCCACCGGTCTTGGAGACAGGGGTAGAAGGTGTTCTAGGACATGAAAGGCAGGAAAGGGAGGCTGGGGGGCAGGATGGCAGAGGCCTTGAATGCTAGGCCAGGGCCCTGTTGGTGGTTGGGGCGGGTCACTAAATAGGGGAAGCACAGGGTCCAGGTCTGGCATCAGGACTCACCCAGTGGCTCCCTCGCCCCTCAGGCGGGATACCAGCTTCTCACTCCCCCTTCGGATGGACTCTCGGAGCTTGGAAAAGGAGGTACTCCGTCGCAGGATCTACACACAGGGCAGGGAATGACCTTCACGGCTCAAGCTCCCCAGCCCCAGATCCCATAGACACTAAAACTGACAAGGGCTTTGGAGACCATATCTAGTCTGTTCCTGCCATTTTACAGACTGGGAAACTGAGGCTCAGAGACAGTAAATGACTTGCCCAGGATCACACAGATCATCAAGATTAGATTCCGGATTTGAACCCAGCTCCTCTGACTCCTGATGTATGGGTGTGACCACTGTACCACACAGCCTCCTGTCCGTCCCCAAGGGCTCTTCTTACCTGGTGTTCCTTGTCCCCTGAAGCTCCCATGCCAGGGTTCCCTGGGGAAATAAAGAGGAGGCTCAGAAGGGAGCTGGAGGGGTGCAGACCCAAAGCTTGGGGTCGACAGAGGGTTGGAAGGCTCACCCAGGGGGGCCGGGAGGTCCTGCCTGCTGAGAATCTCCTTGTACAGCTCTTCAGCCTGTTTGTATTTGTTCTGTTTCAGGTAAGCTGAGGCCTGAGGAGGAGGGAGGTGTGGGTCAGGCCCAGCCCCCAAGGGCTCCCAGCACCCGGCTTGTCTGGGGCCCCAGGAGTCAGAGAGCACCTGGAATGTCTGTTCTAAGAGAGGGCCATTAGAACATGGGATGTCAGAGTTGGGAGGGGACCTAGAACAGGGAGCTTCAGAGCTGCACGGACGGGGCTCTGCAGACCCTGAGCCTCCGGCCAGGCCCTCACCAGGTTGTTCTTGGTCTTGGCCACATTGGGGTCGTCAGGGCCCCCCAGGGCTTCGTAGATGGCCAGCGCCCGGCCGTAATGCTTCTCCACCTCTTCAAACTTGCCCTGGTTCTGACACAGCAAGGCCAGGTTGTTCAGCTGTTTGGCCACGTCCGGGTGGTCAGCACCCAGCACCTGTGAAGGGATCGGGGAACAAGGCATCAGAGCGAGAGGCCGACCGGAGGCCTGTCAGACCAGGGCGGGAAGGTCCTGAGGAGTCAGGAGTCGGGGGGTCAGAGGTCACAGTAATAGCAGGGGTCCCGAGGAGGTGGAGGTGATGGGGTCAGAACAAAGCAGTCTCCAGCAGTCACAGGGTCAGAAGGGAAGCTCCTCAGGGTCAGAACAAGGAGTCCCTGGGGGTTCTGGGTAACAAGGACTGAAAACAGCTGCTGGGGGGTGGGGGGATCCAGAGATCTAGAATCTCAGGGTCCAAACAAGGGATTGGAGGTCACAGGCAATAGTGAGGTGTTTAGGGGTTACAGGGGGGTCCTGAAGCGTCAGGTGTCATTGTGAGTCTGTGGGCGAGGAGATGCCCCAGAGAGTCTGAGCCGGAGGTCCCTGGGGGTCCCATTGTGTGAGTGAGAGGTTCCCACAGAGCAAGGGTGAGGGGATCAGAGGAAGGGACCGCAAGGGGACAGAGTCAGGAGGCAATGCCAGAGCGACTGTGGGGTTCAAGGTGGATCCCAGGGCAGGGCTGGGCACAAGACCCACCTTCTCACGGATCTCCAGAGCCCTCTGGCAGAGGGGCTCTGCCTCCCGATAGCGGCCCCGTTTCCCATACAACACAGCCAGGTTGTTCAGGGTGGCTGCCACCTGTGGGGAAGGAGGGAAGGGAAGGCTTCAGCAAAGTTTGGAGCTGGAAGGACCCCAACTTTCTTATTTTACATCTGGGGAAACTGAGGCCCAGAGAGTGGCAGAGAATTGGCCAGGCCCAGGGATGGCAAGCGGTAAGGCTGGGATTCGAATGCAGGTCCTCAAGGGAACGTGATACAGTGGAGACACACTGGCCTGGGAGTCAGAGGACATGGGTTCTAATGCTGGCTACGCTCATTGGCCACATGACTAAGGACATGTTATCGGACCTCTCTGAGCCTCGGTTTCCTCATCTGTAAAATGAAGGGATCTGACTGGATGGTGTCTTGAGGTCCTCAGCTCACGCTCTAGCCTTCTATTTTGCACATCCAGAAGGGGAAGGGGCTAGAGTCAGGGGTCCTAGCCCAGCCCAGCCCCTACTCACTGCTGGGTGCTCGGACCCCAGTGTGTGTTCCCGGATCTGCAGGGCGTCTTGGAGAAGTTCTGTGGCCTCCTTGTATTTGTTCTGGTCCCTGGGAGGTCATGGGGAAGAATAGGGGGGCAGGGGAGAGCCTCAGTGGGGATAGCTCGGGGGAGGGAAGGGGCAGCATGTGAGGGGGCAGGGGGGCCTGAGACAGAAGGGGTCAGGCCCAGGGGGACCGAAGGTGTCGGGGATGTCCAGGGTGGGGGCTGACGGCACCTGGTTGGGGGGAGGACAGGGCCAGGGATGAGATAGGAGGAGGTGAGAACACGTGGGGATGCTGTGAGATCACTGGGGGTCACATGGAGATGCCATGCCATGATTGGCTGGGTGAGGCAGGAAAGCGAGGGGGGGAGGGCCCCTCACCGGTACACCAGGGCCAGGATGTTCAGCATGGTGGCCACGTCGGGATGGCAGTGACCAGATGTGTGCTCCAGGTCCTCCAAGGCCTGGCGGCACAAGGGTACGGCCACCTCATAACGTCCCTGCCCTGCATACTGGATGACAAGGTTGTGCAGGGTCTTCAGGCGGGCCGGGATCTCATAGCCACCTTGCTGGGCAGCTGCTGCACCAAATGCCTCGGGACCTGGGGTGGGGGAGCGAGGCAGCCTCTTGTCACCCCACCTTCCCCCCCCACTGACCTGAGGCCTCGTCCCCTCCCCAGGCTTTGGCCTGGCCTCCTCCTAGCTGCCCCTGCCTGATTCTCCATAGGTGAAGAGCCAGAAGGGACTCCAGAAGTCTTCGGGCCAATAGAAGAGGACACTGAGGCCAAGAGGCTAAGTGATTTATCTGAGGTCACCCAGTCAGCTGACTCCAAATCCCACTCCCTTCCCATAGCACTGCTCCTAAGACCCCTTTCTGCCCTACACAGGAAACCTCTGTTTCCCTCCCCAAGATCCAGGCCCCCACCCTATTCCCTGGACCGGTCCGGGGCCCACACACTGACTTTTCTTGTCCTCGCTGGGGAACAGAGAGGCCAGGTTGTCTCCACGTTCCTTGGTCTTTGCCTGGCAGGGAGAGAGAATGATGGGGACATGAGTGACCTCGAATGACCTTGCCAGGACTGCTTCTTCTCTGAGGATCTGAAGGCCATGTGAGGGTTGGGGTTGGGGGCCAGGGAGGGTTAGGCGCTGAGAGTATGATTCCAGAATTGCAGATTCAGAGCTAGAAGGGCCCTCAGAGGTCACTGAGCCCAAGGCGTTCATTTTACAGAAGAGACTGAGGCCTGAGGGATGAAGCAATTTGTTCAGCTTATTAAGGGCCCTCTGAGGCAGGATTTGAATCCAGTTCCTCCTGTTTCTGAGTCTCAAGTTCCATCCATTATACCACACTGTCTCTAAATGAAGGTCTGGGGGGAAGGGAAGATGCATAGGAGAACCTCAGGGCAAAGGTGGAATTAGGTAGCCTGGTATCTAGGGGAAATCTGGGAGCAGGAGAAAGAATGTCCACCCCAATGAGATATGGTTGAATAGGCAAAAGGGTAGCCTGTCCCCTAGAGATGCTGAACTAAACCCACCCTGGAAGCAATCAGAGCAGAGGTGATGGCAGGCAGGGGACACAGCAGAGAGCTGCCTAACAGTAGATGACGAAGGCATGAGGATGTCAGACTGGAGGAACCTCTGTGGTGAAGAAACATGCCCTGGGCTCTCGTACTCTCAGGGCCCTGGGACAATGCCCCAGTCTCCCTGCCCTCATTACAGTTCAGCCAAAGGGTGAGGTTATATGAGTGTGCTGCAAGTCTGGGAATTGTAAATGAAGTCTGAGGGACTCTAGAGGAATATGAGAATGATGGGGGAGAGATCTGAGGGTCCGGCAGATCCTGGAGGAGGCTCTCGGGCAACACCTGGGCAAGGAGGTACCTTGGCTGCATCCTGGCGGCCCTCATCCTCCAAGGTGTCATAGCGCCTCAGCTGGCCCAAGAAGTCCAGGTGACTCTTCTCCTCCTCAAGCTGGGCCACAGTCTCCTCGCTGGCCTGCAGCCTCTTCCTTGTCTCCTCCAGCTCTTCCTGAAGCCACGCATTCTCCTGGGCCAGGCGCCGAGCTTGGGCTCCCAGCCGCTGCTTCTCAGCCTCCAGAGCCCCCATGTGTGTGGACAGTGCTAGCAACACCTGCCAGAGCACAGGCCAGGATGTGGAGAGTGGACTGTCAGCCTGGATTCCAGGGATCCTTGTACGTGCACATGTGTGCACACACCTACACACACACACACACACACGTATCCTCACTTGCATAGTGCTCTTCCTCTTTCCTGTCTCTCTCCTCTTTGTCTCTCTCTCTCTCTCTCTCTTTCTCTCTCTCTCATTCTCTTTCTTAGTACTCTCTTAAAGCTCTTTATAACTCAAACTCCTCCGCATCTGTGGTCCCACAACCACCCTTTACATTCCCTATCCCCTCATATCCCTCAGTGCCTTTCACACCTCTGATGACCCTCCCACACCCAACAAACTTTCCCTGCCCCTCAGAGGCCCCCACATTTCTTCTTCGGCCCTTAGTACTCTCCCGTGATTGTCTCACCTTCCCTGGTCACTCCTCCATGTCATCACCCATTGAATATTCTTTGACCTTCCCTGATCCACTAGCAAGCCCCATGGGCCACAGCAATTCCTTTCACATCCCCTGTGATCCCTCTGCATTTCCCATATATCTCCTGTCTTCCCTCACCCTCCCAAGTCCCTTAGAGATTCCCAGACCCCTGAAAGATGCCCCCTTTCCTCTACCTTCCCCAATACTCCCACATCTTTCAGGGTCCCTTCAAGGGGTTCCTCACAACCATCCCACATCCCCCAGACTCTTCAGAGCTTTCAAAGCATCCACCAGGGTCCATGGAGACCCCACACCTCCCAGCAATCTCCTCATACATACTCCAGGGCCCTGACTGCCATGTCCCCCACATTCTTCTAACATCTTGCTGATCTTCACAGACCCAGTGACCACCATGGCCCAGAACAATGTCTCTGACATAGTTCTCCCCATGCCCTTCAGTGAACCCCACAGCCCACAGTGACACTGAACACCTCTGATCATACCTGGGCCTCTCCCAGCCCTAGCTCAATGGCCTCCAGGGACTGGCTCAGAGCACGGTGTTTCTCCCTCAGCAGATCCAGACCTGGGAAGGTCTCTCCTTCTGAGTCGGCCCCAGCCTCCGTCAGGGCTTCCTGTAGTCGCCCAGCCAAGCCACGATGCTCAGCTCTCAAAGCTTCCAGACCTTGGACCACTTGTCGTGTCTGGCTTACCAGCTCCTCAGGACTCATCCATGCTGACCCCAAGGGATCTACAGGTAGTGACATGGCTGCACCTGCAAGGAGCGGGGAAGGGAAGAGGGGTTGGGATCAAGGGAGGATGCTCCCGCCATTTCTCTTAAAGTGTTGGGGTCCCATTCATGTGTCACTGGAGCAGAATGCAAGCTAGTGATGATGGCAGACAGACTTCACTTATCCAGACAGCTGCTGGAGCTTGCCATTTCTGTTTCTGTCTCTGTCTCTCTCTCCTTCCCTTTCTTCCTCTCTCCTCTCTCTGTCCCTTTCTCCTCCTCCTCCTTCCTTTCTTCTTCCTTTTCTCCCTCCCTCTCTTCTCCTCTCTTCTCTCTCTCTTCCTCTCTCTCCCTCTCCTCTCCTCTTCTTCCTTCTTTCATCTTTTCTCTTTCTCCTTTCTCTCTTTCTCTTGGTCTGTGCTTTTCTTTATATCTCTGTCTCTCTTTGTCTCTAGCAAAAACAGAGCAGCTGATAACTTCTCAACTTGACCTGATGCTTGGGGTTGTGAGCATTTTTGTGGCTGCAGACCCTTTGTCAGACAGTCAGGCTGGGGAAGCCCAGGGACCCCTTCTCAGAATCATGTTTTAAAATACATAAAATTAAAAAAGAGAACGTCAAAATAATTAAATCATATTAATATATTATCATAATTATAAAATAATTATTTTGAAATATAGTTATCAAGATAATGTTTAAAAATTCATAGATCCCAGGTCAAGAATCTCAGCATTAGTGATCATTTCAACCACTCAAAAAAATAGAAGACCCAAGACAGTCTCTTCTGGATCTAATTCTCATCAATATAAGAAATTGTCAGCATAGTACCTGATATCAAACAGGAGAGAAGGGAGGGCGAAAGCATTTGTTAAGTACCTACTATGTGCCAGGCACTCCGCTAAGCACTTTAGAAATATTATCTCTCTTGATTCTCACATCAACCCTGTAAGGTAGATGCTATTTTTACGCCCATTTTACAGATGAGGAAACTGAGGCAGACAGTAGTTACGTGATTAAGGGTCACGTAGCTATTAAGTGTCTGAGGTTGGATTTGAAGTTGGGTCTTCCTGATTCTAAGCCTGGTGCTCTAGCCCCAATAATGACTTGCTTTCTTGACCAGTTGACCACTGCGGTGGAAATAATAAGAACTTTAGGGGGAAGTGGCCCCTTTCTCTTAAGAGTTTGTGAAAGGGAAGGAGAAGAAATTGGGGCATAGTCTGACATGTTCCCTAGATTTGAGAAGGGTAGATTTCAAAGGCTTCAGGGAAAGGATAGGATCCCAAGAATTAAAATTCTACAGGGGATGTCAGAGTAGGAGGGACAGGTAGCTCTTATGAATGAAAGTCTGAAGATACAAAGGGAAACAATTCTGAATGAGGAAAAATGGGAACTCCCTGTGACAGAGGCAACTCATCATAATAAAAAGAATAAAAAGACATGGACAGAAGAGGGAAACAAGGGAAGGTAGCAGGCTGTCTACAACAGCATAATGCAGGCTAGTTTGAGGACCACCATGGCTCAGAAAAAGCCAACAAGCGAAAGACCTTAAGGGATGCTTGGGTTGGGTTTAGCCACATTGGAGAAGAGAGATCAAAGATGGATGGCACCGTGCTGGGGGAGATGAGATGCTGATAACAGAGAGAAGCCTCAGTTGCTCAAATCTTGCTTTCCTTGTTTTCTCTGCTGGGGAAATGAGCCTTTGGACTGGGAAGGACAGAGCTGAAAGGGCTCATAGGGAGCTGATACCCAGGATAAATGAGGAGATAGTGAGAAAATACCTCACTGTCCTCCATGAATTCAAGCCACCTGGCCCAGATTAACTACATTCTCAAGCTCTTGAAAACCCAACAGATGCGATAGTGAGCTGTTAGCAATTCTCTTTGAAAGATGGCAGAGAACAAGAGAGGGTCTGCAGGGCTAGAGAAGAGCAAATGACCTCATTTTTCCAAAAAAGGGAAGAGAGTAGCATCTGCCTACTATAGGCCAATGGACTTGACTTCCATTCCTGGGAAAATTCTAGAACACGCTATTAAAGAAATGTTAATTTGCCGCTCTGGGCGGCAAAAGAATGCTTGACCTGGAGTCAAGTTCAAACCCAGCCTCAGACACTTACTGGCTTTGTGACCCTGGGCAAATCATTGGACTTGCCTCAGTTTCTTCATCTGTAAAATGGGTCTAAAAATAGGCTGACCATGTCATCCCCCTATTCAAGAAACTCCCTATCACCTCCAGGATCAAATATAAATAGTTCCCCGAGTTATTGTGAGGATTAAATGAGGTAATGATTAAATGAGCACTTTGCAAATCTTAAAGTACTTTACAAATGTTATCGATATCACCATCAACACCAGTATCTAGGAAAGAAAACAATTATCCCAAAGTATCAAGAATGGTTCATCACTGATGCCAACTTATCTCCTTTCTCTCCACAGGTGCAAAGCTGCTCAATCAGGGGAATGTGATAGCCAGGAGCTACCTAGATTTGAGCAAAGCTTTCACTAAAAAATCTCATGCTATTTCTCATGGAAAAGACAGAGAAATGTCAGCTAGAGCAAAGCATAATTTGGCTGGATTTGAAATTGGTTCAAGGACCAGACTCAAAGAAAAGTCATTAGCAGCTTGATGTCAACTTGGAAAGAGGTCCCCAGTGGAGTGGCCCAGGGCTCACTGCTTGGTTCTGTACAGCTTAACATTTTTATCTGTGATTTGGATAAAGGCATAGATGAAGGGCTGGTGAAATTTGCAGATGGAACAAAGCTTGGAGGAATAGCTTGAATGAACTACTTAACCAGCTCTAGGGCAGCTAGGTGGCGCCATAGTGCACAGAGCATATCAGGAAGAACTGTTCCTGAGTTCAAGTCAGACCTCAGACACTTACTAGTTGTGTGACCCTAGGTAAGTCACTTAACCCTGTTTGCCTCAGTTTCCTATCTGTAAAATAAGCTGGAAAAAGAAATGGAAAACCACGCCAGTACCTTTGCAGAGAAAATGGGGTCGCAACTGAACACCTCGAATCCAGCTCTAACCTCTCTCTTAACCTCCAGGCTCACATCTCTGCAACTCAACAGTATCCAAAGCCAAACTTTTATCTTTCCCTCCAAGTCCTCTCCCATTTTGGACTTCCTTATTACTGTGGAGGGCACCATCATTCTCCCAAGTCAGACAGCCAGTCAATAAATATTTTTTAAGCACCTGCTATGTGCCAAACACTGTACTGAGTTCTAGAGGTATAAAGAAAGGCAAAAGACAGTTCCAACTTTCAGGGACCTGTGCTTTAGGAAGGTCGCCTTGAGAGCTGACCTTCCTAAGGCAACTTAGAATTATCTTTGGCTCCCCACTCTTACCCACCCCCTCATCTGATCTTCTACCAAGTCCTGCCAGTTCTTCCTTCTTTTCATCTCCTGTATATGCCCCCTTCTCTCCTCTGAAGCTGTCACCTGCACCTTGGTGCATATCCTCATCACCTCACACCCAAGACTATTGTAATAGCTCCTGGTGGCTCTGCCTGCCTCCCGTCTCTCCCTACTCTGATCCAACCTCCACTCAGCCACCAAAGTGACCACCAGATCTGACCATGTCACCCCCCTTCCTATTCAAGAAACTCAGTGGCTCCCTATCACCTTCAGGATCAAATAGAAAATCCTCTGTTTGGCATTCAAAGCCCCTCATACCTGCCCACTAACACACCTTTCAAGTGTTCTTACACCCCACCCACACCCACACTCTTTATTTTTCCATCCAGTGACGTTGGCCTCCTGGTTGTTCTTTGAACAAGATATTCCACTTTCTATACCTGGAACACTCTCTCTCCTCATTTCCACCTCCTGGCTGCCTTCAAGTCCCAACTAAAACCCCACCTTATATAGGAAGCTTTCTCCAATACCTCTTAATTCTAGTGCCTTCCCTCTCATTTACTTCCAATTTATCCAATATAGAGAGCTTATTTGTGCAGAGTTGTTTGCCTATTGTCCCCTCCATTAGACTGTAAGCTCCTGGAGAGCAAAGACTGGTCTTTTGACTTTATTTGTATCCCCAGTGTGCCAGGCACATAGTAGGTACTTAATAAATGCTTCCTGACTGACTAAATTGGATGACATAGCCAGTATAAAAAAAATCTTAGGCTAGAGTTTTGATTGGGCTGAATGTAGAGATAAATGTAAAAGTCTTCCACTGGGGTACAAAAAATCAGTCTCACAAATATGGGATGGAGGAGTCCCTGGTTAGATAACAGTTGTTCTGAGAAAAGGTCTGAGGCTTTTAGAGGCTTGCATACTCAATATGAGTCAGTGGTGTGATGTGGTAGCCACAAAAAAAGGATTTCAGGATGCCTTTAGACAGGAGGCATGGCTTTTAGGCCTTTGTTGGACGACACTTATAATATTGGGTTCAGTACCAGGCATCACATTTCACAAAGGAGTGTCCAGAGGAGGGTAACCAGCACAGTGAATGGTCCCAAGTGTCCGTGTCACATAAGGATCAGTTGAAGAAACATTTAGCCCAGGGAGGAGAAGGCTGAGGAAAGATATCTCAGTTGGCTTCAAGCATCTGAAGGTCTGCCATGTGAAGGAGGGGTTCGATTTGTTACTTTTGGCCCCAGAGGAGAGATCTTGGAGGAAAGAATGAGGATTGCAAGAGAGACTAATTTAGGCTGGATGTCAGGAGGAAAAAACTCAATTTGCTAATAATTGTAAGAGCTATTCAAAATTGGAATGGTCGCTTCCTCCTTCTCCTCTGAGGTCTTCAAGTAAAGGCTAGTGGGGATTCTTATTCCCCTGGGGGGTTGGATTGAATGGCCTCTGAGGCACCCTCCATCTCTGAGATCTGGGATTCTCTGATTCTGTCCAAGGGGGTGAAAGTCATCCCTTCTTACCCCTTCACCTCTGATGGGGGCTCATCAAAGTCAACACCGTTGTGTCTTACCCTCAGATGAGGGACTTCCAGAAAAGCCTGCATCCCCTTCTCCCATTGTCTTTCCCTGCTACTCAGACAATGGAGAGATGCATTGGAAACCAAAGGAGAATGGCTAGCCACCCTGGTTTATATTACCCTTTTTGGTTAGCCACAGTCTCCTGAAGCTTCAGATCCCGAGACCCAGAATCTCAGAGCTCAACTTCAGCTCCCCTTCAAGAGTCAACAAATATTTATTTATTTATTTATTTTCCCTAGACAAGTTATTAATGGAGCTACAAAACATCAGATGGGCTCAAGCCCAAAAGGTTGACTATGGCACAAATATTTCAACAAGCATTTATTAAGCACTTATTATATGCTGGGCACTGGGCTAAGCACTGGAGGTACAAAGAAAGGCAGCCTGATTTTCCTCTACAATCTTCCTGTCAAGTCCTTGTTCACAGATCTCTGGGGCTGGGAACTCACTACCTAGCCCAGTCTGTTCTTCTCTTGGAAGACTTTTATTGTGAAGTTTTTCCTTACAAAAACCTCATATGTGTTTCTTCTCTGGGACTCCTCTACCCTGTCCCCACAATAAGGTCAGGAAATATCCAAGACACATGAACATCAAATGTGAAGAAAGGAAATTCAGGCTCAAATCCAGGTCCTGACTACTTCCCCAAACTATGGACCAAATCAAGGGTGAGAGGTGGGGTCTGTAGCATGGCCTAGGGTTAATCTCTCTCTCTCCCCTCTCTCTCTCTCTCTCTCTCTCTCTCTTCTCTCTCTCTCTCTCTCTCTCTCTCCTCTCTCTCTCTCTCTCTCTCTCTCTCCCTCTCCCTCTCTCTCTCCCTCTCCCTCTCCCTCTCTTCTCCCTCTCTCTCTCCCTCTCCTCTCTCTCCTCTCTCTCTCTCTCCTCTCTCTCCTCCCTCTCCTCTCTCTCCCTCTCCTTCCTCCTCTCCCTCTCCCTCTCCCTCTCCCTCTCCCTCTCCCTCCCTCTCTCCCTCTCTCACCCCTCTCCCTCTCCTCTCTCTCCCCTCTCTCTCCTCTCCCTCTCCCTCTCCCTCTCCCTCTCCCTCCCTCTCTCTCTCTCTCCCTCTCTCTCTCTCTCTCTCTCTCTCTCTCTCCCTTTCCCTCTCCCTCTCCCTCTCCCTCCTCTCCCTCTCCTCTCCCTCTCCCTCTCCCTCTCCCTCTCCCTCTCCTCTCCCTCTCCCTCTCCCTCTCCCTCTCCCTCTCACTCTCCTTCTCCCTCTCCCTCTCCCTCTCTCTCTCTCTCTCTCTCTCTCTCTCTCTCTCTCTCTCCTCTCTCCTTTCCCTCTCCCTCTCCCTCTCCCTCTCCCTCCTCCCTCTCCCTCTCCCTCTCCCTCTCCCTCTCTCTCTCTCTCTCTCTCTCCCTCTCTCTCTCTCTCTCTCTCTCTCTCTCTCTCTCTCTCTCTCTCTCTCTCTCTTCTCTCTCTCTCCCTCTCCCTCTCTCTCTCCCTCTCTCCCTCTCTCTCTTCTCTCTCTCTCTCTCTCTCTCTCTCTCTCTCTCTCTCTCTCTCTCCCTCCATATATATATATATATATATATATATATATATATATATATGCTCAAGTCATAGAACAGAGAATATCAGAGTGGGGAGGGAATATGAACAGAAGAAACTCCCCGGTATAAATCACAGAACCTGGAGTCAGAAAGACTTAGGTTTGAATACTTCCTTAGATAACTTGCTAGCTGCAGGACTCTGGATCAGTTACTCTATTACTCTCAGCTTCTACTTCCCCTCCCTAAATGGGGACGCTTAGGGCACCCATCTCCCAAGGGTTCAATGAGATAGACCACATAAAGTGCTTAAAACAATATACAAATGCCAGTCTTTGTTAATAGAGAATAAAAACAAAACCAAAAAAAAGAATAAAAAAGAATAAAAATACCATAAACTTCAGGACTGGAAGAGATCTTGGGGACCATACAGCTCCATTTCCACAAAGGAGAAAAACTGATGCTGGGAGAGGGAAGTGACATGTGTAAGTTAACACACTGAGTCAGTGGGACTAGACCTCCAGATCATTTTGTATCTTTCCATCACCAGGGTTTAACACAGTGTCCTTGTATACAGGAGGTACTATATAAATGCTTGTTTTTCTTTTCCTTCCCCTCCTAGGGTGCTTAATAGATGCTTGATGAACTAGCTCTGCATTGTTGCTACTGGAGAGAGGGTTGCTTGGGTGTGTGTGTGTGTGTGTTGGGGTGGGGTGGGGGGTGTATGTCTGGTGAAGCTTCTTCCCCATGACCTCATCCCTGCCGCCTTCTTGTGCTGGGAACCAGTCTGACAGCTGCCTAGGCAAGGGTGGGGAAGACTAGAGCAGAGAGATCTGTGGTGCCTGGTGGGAGTATGAGAGAAACTTGAAGAAACCCACTTCATCACTTAGGGGTCATCCCAGTGGTCTAGGGGAAGGAGGACAAGATTGCCCCCAGGGAGACAGCTGTCCTCATGTCTCTTCCCCACCACTCCCCAGCCAGGACATGGTTAGACACCAGCCAGCTTCTCAGACAGGCCAGGCTGGATAGCTCAGGGCATGCAGAGACAGATACATGGATGTCCACATCCGGCATGGTCCCTGTATGTTGGATGAGTACACAGGTGGTCGGACCCCTCAGCAAACTGTGGCTGAGTTCATGTGCATCCCAGCACACAGATTACATGGGCTCTAGGGCCAGTCCTAACTAAACCATCAAATAATCTTGTGCAAGGCCCTACTGTATGGTTCCTGGTTTCCTTATCTGTAAAATTAGAGGGTTGAACTTGGCTGGCCTCTAGATCGACTCCCATAGACCGTAGACTGCCAACTTTGGAAAGGGCCATAGAACATAGGATGTCATTGCTAAAGGAGACCTTAAAAACACAGAATGCCAGAAGTGGGAGGGCCCTTAGAAAACTAGATTCAGAACTTGGAGGGACCTTAGAATATGGGCTAAGAACGAAAGACCTTAGACTGGATGTCATAGAAGGGAAAGGCCGTAGGACCAAGTGAATTCCTGGCTGGGAGGGACCACAACAAACGACGTCTGAGTTTTGCCTTTGGAGAACATTTAATCTCAAGGGGACACGCTGCCTCTCTGCGGAGCTCCCCTCGCCAACGCAGACCCTGCCTGCCTGCGCCCTCTCCCACACAGCTCTATAAACACTCTTCCACACTCATCCAGCTATGAATGGCCCTGCTCCTAGCCCCTGACTCTGTCTGACGCACCACTGGATAGAATCTAGGATTTCGGGACTGGTGGGGACTTTCAGCCATGCACCAACATTTTCCCCCCAGCCCCGCCCCCGACTTTCTTTTTTCTTTTTTTTCTTTTTTTTACACCAGATGAAAGAAGCAAAGAGAGGGGATAGGACAGGTTCAGGAGCACGTAGGTCAGTGAGTCGGGCCAGGAGGGGCACCAGGTTCTGAGGACTCCCCGGTCAGACCCACTTTGGTGTCTGTCACCCAGATCATCCCTCCTCCGGGTGGGCCGCAATCACAGCTACACACACAAAGAGGCTCATCGTCCCCAGCCTGCATCCCCTTCAACTCCCACCAGTTGCTTGGTCAACTCACTCGGGGGCCTCCTTCCTATCCCACCTGCAAGCACAGGCCCCGCCTCGCCCCGCCCTGGCTTCTGTTTACCTATGTCAAGGGGGAGGGACTCTGAGTGGTGTATGTGGGGGGGGGTCTGAGTTTGGAGTTCTGGAGGAAGGGGGAAGGGCGGGACTAGGGGAGCCGGGACACCCTTGTGGTGAAGGCAGCAGGATTGGGGGGGAGGGAGATAAACAGAGAATGGGATGGAGTACGGGGCCAGTGAAGGTGATGGAGGGAGGAGGACGGAGGAAGAGAAAGAGGGGGATAGAGGGAAGGAAAGGGGAGGGGTCATGGAGGGAGGGGGGAGAGAGGAGGCAATGAGGAAGAGGAAGACAGAGGGAGGGAAAGAGGGGGAAAGGGCAATAGAGGGAGGGGGACAGAGAGATGGAAAAGGGAAGAGGGGGATACAGGGAAGGAAAGAGGGGCGATGGAGGGAGAGGGACAGAGGGAGACAAGGAGGGTGGAGGGGACCCTGGAGGGAGGGGGACGAAGGGAGGTGGGGGGGGCCGGAGCCTGGGGCGCCCTGGCCTCCCACCCGCTGGCCCGCTTCGCTACCTGTCTGCCGTCCGCTCCCCCCGGGGCTCCGGCTCCCACCCCCGCTGCAGTCCGTGCTGTCGCTGTCGCTGTCGCTCGGACTCCGGCTCGCTCTCCAGCCACCGCCACAGCCGCCTCCCCTGTCTTCTCGGGGGAGCCTCCAAGAGGGCTCGGAGGAGGCTCCCGGCGGAGGCGGGGCTGAAGCCAGGATTAGGGCGGGGAGGGAACGCCCTGCCCCCAGCAGGTGAGGTTCAGCCCTAGGTGCTGTGCCGGCCCGGTGGGGGTGGGGAACCCTGAGCAGGGGCCTGTGACGTCAGAGGCGCTTAAAGCTCTTACTTCACAGTCGCTAAGCTGCAAACCGCACATGGGTCTGGGGCGTCCTCCTGGGGCAGCCTGAGTGGGGCAGGCCCGGAGGCAGCGCACTCCCCAGTTGGACAGTTCTCATTGTTAAAAAATAAAATTTAATTTAAAAAAAAGGCTTTCCTGACGTCTGTTTACTTCTGCCCCTCCGCAAGCAAGAGGCAGGCTTGTCCCAAGCTTCCCGCCAATGACAGCAGTCCCCTAGGGGAGTGGGCTGCCCCTACTTCGGGGGGATCTTCAAGCCGAAGGTGGAGGACCCCCTCTCCAGGACGGTATGTAAGAGTTCCTTTTGGATGGTGGCTGGAGCCTCTTCCTTCTCTCAAGTTTTGTGATTCTGTGAACTCTCCCCCAGCCCCTGCTCCTTATTCTGCCCCCATGGTACCAAGCCTTGGCCATAGGACAGCCCTTTAGATTCTTCGGGAAGGTGACCCCCTAGTCTCCTCTTCCCCAGTTCCTTTGACCCCTCCTCATATGGCATGAACTCAAGAGCCTCCTCTACTCTCGTTACCCTTTCCCGTGGATGATAATGTTCAGTCGTGCCCAACTCTTCATGACTTCATTTGGGATTTTCTTGGCAAAGATACTGGAGTGGTTTGCCATTTCCTTCTCCAGCTTATTTGACAGATGAGGAAACTGAAGTGGCCAAGGTTAAGTGATGAGTCTTCCTGATTCCATGCCTGGCACTCACCCACTGCACCACCTAATTGCCCTCTTCCTCTGGATACTCTATTTGATCAATACCCTTCCTAAAATGTAGTACCCAGAACTGAACACAACGTTCCAGGTGTGGATCTGACTATAGTTACCTCCCTAATCCTGCATATTTTTAAAAAATTTACCTTTTAAAAATCTCATTTGTGAAAGAACCTCCTAGACCTGGAATTCTTTCTCTGTTGGTAAAACTGTACATTAACAACTGTTCTGCAATTTCTAATTCTGGAGAGTCATCTAGGGCACTAAGAGGGCACTTGGCTTGCACAGGGTCATAACAGTCCATATACGTCAGAGGCAAGACTTGAACCCAGGTCTTCCTGGCTGGGGTTGGCTCTCTAAGAAATGAAACTTCCTCTGTAGCTCACGAATAGCAAGTCCAACATACACTATGCTTATCTTAAAGGAACCCCAAAATGTATCAGCTTTCTTTGCTGCTATTTCACTTTGTTTAGAGTTCTTACAGTCCTCTAAACCCCCAGCTCTTTTTCAGAACAGCTATCTAGACACACCTCTCCCATCTTGTACTTGGGAAGCTGATTTTTTAAAACCCAAGTGTTGACTTTTATTTTTTTTATGCCTACCAAATTTCCCTTTACAAAATCCCCAGCCTTTAGAACTTTCAGAGTTACAGATTCTTAACTGAACTCATCAAACAATAATTTTAAAATGCCTGCTATGTGAAAAGTGCTAGGGACACTAGGTGCTGGGGTTATAAACATAAAAATAAACAGACCCTGCCTTCAAAGAACTCACATTCTACTGGGGGATTAACAACAGCAAATAATAATAATAATAACAACAACAACAACAACAACAATATTTACACAGCATCTTATATACAATATCTCATTTGAGTCTCACAGAGCCCTGTAAGGTAAACAAATACAAGAAGAATTAATACTTGCCCTCCCCCTTTGTTTATCTTATTATGGATATAGAAGCTGAGACTTAGTTAAGAGGGTAAGAGACTTTTTCATAGAGACAGGATGTGAACTCAGATCTTCTTGACTCCAAGTTGAGCACCATATTTGCTAGACTATCCTAGCATACTTACCTGGAAACAGATAAGTAAATGCACGGTCCCTGGGAGGATGGGGGGGGGGGAGAGAGAGAGGGGGGGAGGGAGGAGGGGGGGAGAGAATACTAACAAAGGAATATCGGGAAAGGCTTTGAGTAGAGGATGGCATCTGAGGTATATGGTGAGGAGGGAGTTCATTTCAGGTAATCAAAATGGCCTCATGCAAAGTGGAGGTGGGAAATGGAGCACCAAGTTCAGAAAACAGCAATTAGGCCAATTTGACTAGAAATCCAAATGCATGAAGGGATATAAAATGAAAAAAGTCTGGAAAGGTAAGCAGATCCAGACTGCAAAGGACTTTAAGGGCCAGGCAGAGGAAATTGTATTTTATTCTGGAAGAGATAGAGAACCCTGAGCAGGGGGATGATATGGTTGGGCTTCTGTTGTAGGAATCTCAGTTTGGCAGCTGTGTGGAGCATAACTTCAAAGAGGAGAGACTACAAGCAATGAAACCAAGAAGGCCATTGTTGGAATCCATGAGAGGTGATGAGAACTCAAACCTGGGTGGGTGGTTATGGGACTGAAGAGAATGGGATGGATGTGAGAGGTGTTGTCAAGAGAGAAATGGCAAAACTTGGTAATCGACAGATCAATCAATTAACATTTATTGAATGCCTACTATGTGCCACCACTGTGCTAAGTGCTGGGGATACAAAAAGAGGCAAAAGACACTTTCTGCCCTCAAGGAGCTTGCAATATAGATTAAATATAGGGGGATGAGGGAAAGGAAAGCATCAAAGATGACATTTTTCTTACATCATTCCCTGTGTGATGGTATTCAAGAATGTTTGATTTCTCATGTTCTGGGAGATTTTTTTGATCCTTATCTCTATGCAGCTTATCTTCAAAGTCAGTCTTTTTGGTTTGAGTATAGTTCATGTGTTCTTTAATATTATTGCCTTTTGCTTTTTTTTCCCCCACTGTGGAATTTCCCTCCACTTAATATATTATTTTTGTGTTCCAAATTCTTATTCTTTATTATGTATTCAATTTTCCTCCTCTATGTGTTTTTTTAGTTCTGCATCAGGAGCTTTGATTTCTGTCATTCATAATTTCCTCTTTTAAAAGTTGTATTTTTCTTTTGAACCATTCTGGAGTTTTTTGCTATTATCTCATGATTTCTGAAAAGACTCTCTTTCATTGGGTAACATTGGTCCAGTTGCCTTCATAAATATATTTGTTCTAAGAACTTTGGTTTCTTTTTGAGGTTTTACTCATTCTTCCTTCTATACTTATAATCTTCTCTTGTAGTTTATCTGCTTGTGGACTAGGTTTTTATTCAGTCTTTCTCAGTTGCCGTTTGGGTCTTTCCTATATCTTCTTTTCCACTTGCCTTTGGGAATCTAAATCACTTTACTTCTCACCCTTGCATAGATAGACCTCCCAAGGTAGCCCCAGTAGTTCTTTGAGGTGGGAGATGTGGGAGTCAGCAGGGCCAGGCTCCCTGCCTTGAGTGAAGTCTAGGAGAAGAAGACTGGTCCTGCCTGGGTTTCTGTTCCTCTCAAAGGGCTATTCCCCTCCAGTCTGTGACTCTGGTCCTCGTGGCTTGATGTCTGCCTTGATTGTGTTTTATGTTCCATCAACTCTTCTCCTTCAAGTGGCTGGGTGGAATCTACTACTACTTCTTTTTTGGCCAGTGGGATTTGGATAAGGTTATGTAAGGTTCCTTTAACAGGACCCTGAATCACAAGTCTGAGACCTTGCTTGTACCTTCTTTGGTAGGTACATGGAGTTAGATGTGGTTAGGAACAGGAAATGAAAGCTCTGTGTTAACTCTCTATTAATTCATGACATTTTTACCTTACTTGTGGATGTTCTGTTTGCTTATCTTATGGACTAAGCTGCATTTACTCATTCCTTTCTTTTGAGCTTCTCAGGTTGGAAAAGTTTGTAAACGTAATTTGCTGGTCCCGCTCTGAACCTGTTAGCTGGAAAGGGTGGTGCTTTTCCCACAGAAATAAGGATGTTGAGGAGTGGGCTTCAGGGGGGAAATAATGAATTTGGGGGTACATTCTGTTTTTGACATATAGGTGGGGATGTCCAGAAGAAAGCTGGTGACGTGCAACTGATATTCAGGGGGAAGATGAAGTCTGAATATAGAGACTTGGAAGCCATCTCCATTAGGAATTTCCAACATTTTTTACCCTCCAGACCCCCTGGCTTTCAGTAAACCTTGTATACCCTAACTCCATATGAAAGGAAATAAATTCTGGAGTTTATATATGCACATATATATTTTAAAAGTATTAATTGATTCTTATTTTTTTATAAAAGCAGCCATATTCTCCCCACCTGGAGGCTTATAGCTATTATCTTCCCTGGCTTGCCACTAGGGGAGACATGAGAACTCATGAAATCACAACCAAGAGAGAGATGTACAGAGAAAAGAGTGCCCAAGACAGATCCCTGGTGTCCACCCACAGCCAGGGGCAGGACATGAATGATGGCCTGGAACAATGAGGCTAAGGACTTGTCTGACAGGTGGGAGGAGGAGAAGCAGGAGAGAGCTGTGTCACAGAAGTGGAGGGGAAGAGAGAGCATCTAGGAGACTGGGGGGATCAACAGTGTCAAAACGCCACAGGGAGATCCAGAGAGCTGAGCACAGAGGAGAGGGAGACTAGACTCAGTAATGACGAGATGGCTGGGACCTTGGAGAAAGCCGATGCAGTGAGAAACCAGATTGCCAAGGATTGAGAGTTGAGTGGGAGGTGAGGAAGCAGAGTAGCTTGTCTGTGAAAGGGAGGAGAGATGTAAGGCGATAGGAAGGATCGGGTGAAGGCTTTTTAAGGACAGAGTTCACCTCAGCATGTTTGCAGGTGTGCAGAATTGGTAGATGAGGGGAGAAAAAACACCCATTGTGGAGCCTAGAGCCTTGGGTTCAAATCTAACCAATACCATTTCCCTGAGCTCAAACCTTTCATATTTAAATGAGGGAGTTGGATTGAAAGGCTTCTGGGAGCTCTTCTGGTAGGATCTATGATCCCAAAATCCCAGTTGCCACTTTTTGGGCTATATTCTTTCGAGTGAGAGGCAGCATTTGGTACTAAATAGAAAGCATGCCTTGGGGTCTAGGTTTAAGCTTCACCTCTAACATCTCAGCTGTGACCCTAGGCAACTCACTTAATGCTGGTGCCTTCCCTCTATTGACTGTGTCTAATTTATTCCCTCAAAAGCTTGTTGGCTACAATACTTGTCTCCCGTTAGAGTGTGAGTTCCTGGGAGAAGAAACTCTCTTGCTTTTATCTGTACCTTCTATTCTTACTTATCTTTCAAAATTAATTAATTAATTTTTAGTTTTCAACACTCACTTCCATAAGCTTTTTTTTTTAAAGGCAATTGGGGTTGAGTGACTTGCCCAAGGTCACATAAGCTTTTGAGTTTTAAATTTTCTCCCCCTCCCTCCCCAAGGTGGCATGCAGTCTGCTATAGGCTCTGCATATATATATTCCTATTAAACATGTTTTCACAGTAGTCACGTTGTAAAGAAGAATTAGAGCCAATAGGAGGAACCACAAGAAAGAAGAAACAAAACAGAAAGTATGCTTCGATCTGCATTCAGACTCCATGGCTCTTTCTTTGGATGTGGGTGGCATTTGCCATCATGAGACTTTTGGAGAGGTCTTAGATCCTTGCATTGCTGAGAAGGGCTAAGTCTGTCAATGTTAGTCATCACACAACGTGGCTGTTACTGTGGATAGGCACAGCTCTTAGTGCAGTGCCCCAAACACAGTAGGTGCTTGATAAATGCTTATTGATTGACCCACTTAACCTCTTGGAGCCACAAACCACAAGGAACACGTGCAGCAGGTTTGAGGAAGGAAGGGAAGGTCGCATCCACAGGTACCCAGGCCAGAGTCCATCCTCCTGCTGATGGCCATGGTTTCCCTAAGGAGCTCTTGTCCTCCTTCAGTCCACAGAGGCCCCATCTGGGTTGTGGAGAGAAGTATTCAATTGCCACCTTGTACTCCGAGCTTGGACACTAGGGTTCAAGAATGACATCAATAAGCTGGAGAGTGACCAGAGGAGGACAACCAAGATGATGAAGGGCTCTTGAGTCCACATCATATGAGCACCAGTTGAAAGAATTGGAGATATTTAGCTGGAAGAAGACTCAGGACAAGAGGGAAGGGGAGGGAAAGGAGGAGGGATTCATACGGAGGAGGGATTAGACTGATTTTTGCCTGACCCCAAAGGACAAAACTGGAAGCAATAGAAGAAAGTTGGAAAGAGGCTGATCTATGCTTTGTATTGGGAAAAATCTCCACAGGATTAAGGAGGTGCAAAAAGGGACTGACCTGCCCCATGAGAGTGGTGAGTTCTCTCTCCTTGAGGGCTTTAGGAAAGTGCTAGATGACCATTTGTTGGGTAAATAGGACTCTTTTTGTGTATGGATTGGGCTGGATGCCCTCTTGAGTTAGTCTTTTCCAACTCTCACATTCTGTGATTCTATGTACCTATTTGTCCACTCAGGAGAGACAGCATGGTTGGGTAGGTAGCGAACCTGCCTGGAAGTCAGAAGGATCTGGGTTCAAGTCTTACCTCTGACAAATGCTGCCTCTGTGGCCCTGGAGAAGTCATTCAATCTCTTCCTGATGCCAAGCAACCATGAAGATTGGGGGCATAGGTATAAGCCATCTGCATTAGGGCATTGAGTTCCTTACCTGGAGTTCCCTAAACTGATGAAATCATACGCCTGGCTAAAAAATGCAAAAAAAAAAGTCTTGGGACATTCCTTTATCTCCTTGGCCTCAATTTCTTTATCTTAAAAAAAAAAGGCTTCAGCCTCTTTGGGGGCCCTCTACTAGTGCTATTCTTACAGCGACTGCCTTTACTTCTAACCCCAATACCCCTTTACCCTCAAGTATTCATTCACATCTAGCATAGTCACTCAGGGTACTCGTCCATGTTCTAGCAGGCTTTGCCTGAGCACCCTGATTAGGGCCTGCTTGAAATAAAGTGTCTTCTGTTTCCATCTTGGCAGCCCATTTCTGAGATGTTCTGGAGCCAAATGATTATTTGTTTCGCCTCTCTGTCTCTCTCTGTTTCTCTGTCTCTCTGTCTCTCTGCCTCTCTGTCTGTCTCTCTGTCTCTCTGTCTCTCTCTGTCTCTCTCTCTCTGTCTCTGTCTCTGTGTCTGTGTCTCTGTGTCTGTGTCTGTGTCTGTGTCTGTGTCTGTGTCTGTGTCTCTGTCTCTGTCTCTCTCTCTGTCTCTGTCTCTGTCTCTCTCTCTGTCTCTCTGTCTCTCTCTCTCTCTCTCTCTCTCATTTCTTTACCGGGCATATCATCTCTGAGGAGCACACAGCCTGCCCTCATTGTTCCATCACTGACAGGTACCTCTATATGCTTCCATCAAATACTGACCCTTTGGTCACTGAAAAGGACCATAGCTATCCATCCTGTCCTCCTTTTAACAGTGCAGAAAGGCCACCAGTCTGTCCTCCTTGACTAAATATTGCCTGGGGGGTCACTGGTTGTCTACACCAGGTCACTCCCTCTTGAGGTTGGCATTGTCACTGAGTTGTGAGCTGCTTGTGATAGCTCTCATTCTCCATCAACCTTTCTCTTATCCAGGAGGGCTCTGAATTCTCTCACCATGTCTTAGTCAGTAAGAGGCAGTTGAATCACTAGCTCCCAAACAGCTCCCCCAAGGTATCACACCATGGTGTCAATCCTTTGTCATGTCACCATTAACATCACAGTTAACAAGTTGGTACTTGAGAAAGATCAAGACCTATTCCTATGCCCTAGTTCTCCAAAGTAGTAGCAACTACTCAGCTTAGCACTCAAGAATACAATGTACTCAAACAATTCAACAATGTCACTTCAGCAATAAATGACAAGAATTTCAATGATGCTTCAACACAAAAGAGTTAACCAATCACTTAAATCACCTGGCTTGCCAAGTAGGAGTTTCACTGAAAAATATTGCTGTCAAATTACAGCTGGAAAGAATTTAAAAAAAAAATCAGAAGAGAAAAATCTTTAATAGGTCCAATCCTTGTGATGCTGGAGCAAGTAACAGGCTTAATCAATCAAATAATAATATTAGTAAAATTTAAATGAGCCCTTACTAACGTAGTACCCTATCACCATCACCATATTGTATCTCTCTGAGCTAGACCCAGATTCACGGTCCTCTTGGATCTTTGGATTTAAATTCAAAGCTTCCTAGAAATGATGACTACGAGGAATTTAGAGACATACAAGAAGATTTATGTAAACTGATGCAGAAAAAAATAAGCAGAACCTAGAGAACAGTATGTGCGATGACCAAATTAATATGGACAAAAAGAACAAATATAATTAAATTCTGAATAATTTTACGAGCCACACTTGGTCCCAGAGAAGGGGCATTGAAGCACTTCCTTCAGTAGAGAGCTGGGGAACAACAGGTTGAATTAATTACTTTTTTTTTTTGTGAGGCAACTGGGGTTAAGCGACTTGCCCAGAGTCACACAGCTAGTGAGTATTATGTGTCTGAGGTCAGATTCGAATTCAGGTCCTCCCGACTCCAAGGCTGGAGCTGTATCCACTGCATCATCTAACTGCCCTGGAACAACAGGTTGAGAATGGTACATACATGTTCAGACAGGAGTCATTGTATAATATGATTTTACTTCACTGTTTTTTTGTTTTTGTTTTTGTTTTTTTACAAAAAAGGGTTCATTTGGTGGTGGTGGTGGTAGTGAGTACATCTGGGAATAACTATGCTTTAAAAACAAAAAGCATTAATAAAAATTTTTTGAAAAAAAGCTATATTGAATGACTCTGTACTCAAAAAGGTGATTAATGAAATCAGAGCAAAATGCCTTTAATTAAACAAATTAGGAATTGGATCAGCTGTTAAACATAGTCAACACCAGTTTGCAAATAGTCACTACCATCCAGTGTCTCTCTGGAGTGCTCATGGATAATTTCAATTAATGACTCTGTCTCACCAGCACAGCAGGAGAGACACATTAGTTCATTTACAGAGGGGTATTAGAGACTAGCACACATGATCACATCTCTTCCTATCTTGGCATAGCAGTATTCTTGAGAGTGCTGGCTTCTCATCAAGGCTACTAAACAAGCATGGAAATATGGGACTAAACCAATCTGAATGCTATACACTTAATTTAATGAAAGAGATAAAAATAACATTATTTGGATAAACAAAAGGTTCAGAAATCTTAAGGGAAATAATGATAAACAGTAGGAATAAAGAGGATTTAGCATT